TTTTTGATTTATTCGAAACGGACATTACGCACTGGCAACGTATTCACTTGACTACCGGAAATCACCTGACCACCATTTTCTTAATCGCGATCTCTTTGCCTCCAATTAACGATAGATCCTTGATCCAAGCGTTTCCTTTTTGCTTTTCTCGCTCTATTGTTTTCCCTGATTCTGCTTAGACAGTAGACTCTACCTTCCTTCAATCTCCTGTTCAATAAATTGTTCTGCCAAACGATGTCAATGGCATCCCTAATCTTTCGCTTCCTTGCGTTGTCACCGCATGAAGCCATTCGTCCTGTTGCCTTCCAATTGATCTCGTGTCTAGTCCGTGCGATGTGTTCCGCTACTTCTGATCTTTCAGTGTACATTTTCCTGCAGAATCTTTGATGTTCCTTGATTTGTGTGCTAATTTATCTCGCTGTTTCGCCAATATATTTCTCTCCGCAGCTGAGCATGATATACAATAAACTCCTGAACGGTCTAATTTTCCTACCATTTCATGTGGCGTTGGTTGGCCACCTAAATATTCCATTTACTCAATATTGGCCGTAGTTTTTGAGTTACTTCGCAGGAAGGTAGGCCTATTCCCTTTGGTATGTTCTTCATCTTCCTTACTGTTATTTACTAGTCCTCTTTCTTATATCTTCAATTAAACTACGGGATTATAATTGCCAAACAAGGCACTAAATACAGCCGCACAAAGAAGACAATTGTAAGTCAATCTCCCTATCTTACTTTTCAAAAATGTTATAAACGTTATGATATCACTCCTAAGTTCTGTGACCTTAAGAGACCCTACCACTCGGATAATGTTAATAAGTATCTCTACCATTCTTCTATTCAGAAACTAAGTGAGACCTATGATACTGAACGTTATAAGTTGTTTGAGTTTATAGATAATATCTCAAAGCTTCGGCGTAATTTGGCCGGGATCCTGTCTCCGGAATATTTTCAAAAACTACAGATCATGACTGACAGAAAATCACGTAAGATTTCTGACTTAATAACAAAACCGCATGACTATAAATTGCGTAAGTTTAGGATTATAAGACAGCCTAATTTAAAACCAGTACGCCAAGTTGAAGTGGCTTCCGAGGTGACAAAACCTACTAATCAGCACGAGGATCGGTAGAAAGTACTAAACTTATCATCAATTCCTCTCAATCCCAAAACAACTGCGTTTTTGTAAATAGGACTCAATTTTTCAATTTTACATCACAGAAGCCTTTTATGAGACATCCTGGTGGATGTTATCAATATTGCCAACAAATTCCCTCAGGAGACAAAACGGGAGATGTAGTTGGAACTAATTCCAAAGATCTTGACCCATCAGGAGCCTATACACAGGAACAGATTTACCGGGATACGCAAAACCTTGGCAACGAATGGACAATTAGTCCTTGAGGCGGACAAAGTAGGAGCTACAGTGATAATGGACAAAAAACAATATACCGAGAAGATGAAATAAATTCTACGAGACAGGACCACATATCGCCTGCAAAACAAGGACCCAACTATGAAGATCAATAGAATCTTAAGTGATATGCTGAAATATATGCATAGGAATGGGGACATTGACGCATGGACAAGAAATTCAATCATAGGAAAGGATGCATGACCACCAAAAGAATTCGGATTACCGAAGATACACAAAGAAGGCGAACCACACAAATAGGCAAAGTTTATATGTTTGAAGCTCAAGAAATTAAATGAGAGGCTATCTAACACGGTAAAACATTCATATGAATTTTCTCAAAAAGCAAAAACATGGAACTTGAAGAAACAGACTTATTGGTAAGTTTCGATGTGGAATCCATGTATAAA